ATAGTGGTTGTAGTCTGCCAATCCACCGTGAAAGAAGTCACCGGGAGGTGCTTTCCTAAATTGGTGCAGGGGGTCTCCTGGACGCAGGGTTAAGACGATAAGCCGATTCGAATCACCAAGTGGGCAATGGACCATCCAAGGAAAGGAAAGCGAGGCTTCCCACAGTCAGAAGGCTGCACAGTACATGAAGTCTAGTTTTGGGGTGAAGGCCATGGAACCCCTTAAAGAATGGCAAAGGTGGTCCAAGGGAATCGCTTGGGGTATCCCTCTGGAGGGGACTTTTGATGCCTGGAGGTGGGAGAAACTCATCACCGAGTTGGACCCAGGCTGCAGACATCAGGGACTTTAGATGTAGCTCACCTGTGGCTTCAGAAGTCTACTGGTAAACCGGCAGGGTATACAGAAGGCAGTTTCAGTCCGGAAGAACCGCATTATGTACACCTGGCCCGAGGGGATAGCCGCGATTGGGGATCCAATGTTGGAAGCTGAAGAGGCTCTTTCTGGGCTAACACTGCTGAGGCAGGCTGGATCCACCAATACTGGATCTGTTGTAGTCTCTTCTGATGTTTCTGCGGTCTCCAATGCAATTAACTCTACTCTGCTCTCTCCAGCTACCACTTCTATCTCTCCCACCTCTCCACCTGAGAGTGTAACCTCTGACACTGCCAACACTCTTTCACCTCAAGCAGACGCTCTCCATCAGTCTGCTTCTGCCACATGTGGGGCTTTTTCTCCGAACACCTACTAACCTAGACGAGGCACCATGTTGAAACCGGCTCCTCTTCTTCCTATTTATGAGGGTGAAGAGAAGGGGGGATAGTGGTGCAGAAAACAACGCTTTTCAAACTTTTACTAACCATCCTAACCTCTCAACTTCTGATCAATTTTCCAACCTAGTAGGGAATCACGTCGAGGACCATCACAACTGCCTTTCTTTGATGGAAAAGGTTGTGGAGAAAGGCTCTCTGAGCTCACAAATATCAGCACAGGCAAGGGCTTGCGAGATCCACAAGGACCAGAGGATTAACGTCTATATAGACTCTAGATATGCTTTTGGGAGAGCACATGACTTTGGTCCAATCTGGAAAGCTAGAGGGTTTTTGAGTAATTCGGGGAAGCCGGTGAGACATGCGGAGTTGATTGATAGGCTGTTCGTTGCCTTCAGCCTGCCACACAAAATAGCCATTCTGAAAGTGAAGGCACACAGGACTGATGGGACCCTGGAGGCCGATGGGAACGCCTTAGCAGATAGAGCTGCTAAGGAAGGTGCTCTGAGCCCCTCCGTAGAGACCCTGATGCTGGCCATCCTTTCTGATGTATCTCTGGAAGAGTTTAAGAAACTGCAGAGGTAGGCAGAGGTGCAGGAGAAGAGGAAGTGGACAGCTCTGGGGGCTCCAGATGACATCTGGGGTCTTGGCAACAAATGGTGTTTGCCAAGATCACTATTTTCAATGATGGGCTCATTATCCAGGGCATCAGTCAAAAGATGGTTATGTGTGCGCAGGAGGAAGAGCACTGGATTGCCCCTGGGTTCACTACCGCAGCAGCCAACTTTACAGATCTGTGCTTTGCACAACCCTGGTAGAACTGTAATACCACCGAAACGGCATTCGACTAAACCGGAATATCCCTTTCAGCAAATTCAGATAGACTACATCACGTTGCCAAAGAGTGGGCGGTACGAGCATGTCTTGGTCTGTGTGGATATGTTAACCGTCTGGCCGGAGGCGAGGCACCAACGCCACTACCACAGCAAGGAAGGTCCTGTCTGAGATAGTGTGCCACTGGGGCCTGCCTGAAACGATCGAGTCGGATCGTGGCTCTCACATCACCGGTCAGATTTTTGCAGGAGGTATGTAAAGCTCCTCACGTCAACCAGGGATTACATACTCCGTATCATCCTCAGAGCAGTGGTAAGGTTGAACGTCTTCATGGGATCATTAAAAACAAGATCTCAAAAATCATGGCCTGAATGTCTCGCTATAGCCCTTTATTCCATCAGGAATGCCCCCAGGCAGCCCCACAGGTTATCGCCCTACAAGGTTTCGTTCAGGAGTCCTACGACGACGGGATTGTACTGTCCTCAACAGCTGTCTTCTTTACATTCCCAGCTGACGGGGTATGTGCAGTCTCTGCAAAGGGAGCTCCAAAAAGTCCAACGGGTTTGGGAGTCTGTCCCGGACCCTGACTCAATAACCGGTGTTCATTCTATTCAACCATGTGATTGGGTCGTGGTAAAGAAAATATCCAAAAGACGGGACTTGAGCCAAGATATCTGGAAGAATTCCAGGTGCAGCTGACGACGTCAACCTCTCTAAAGCTCGAAGGACGAGACAACTGGGTCCACGCCAGTCACTGCAAGAAGTTGCTCAACTACGTCAAAGACTGAGCAGTATAATTTTTGTTTATATTCGTAGTCTAGTGTATCTGAGCAAGGGGAACGATAAAGAACATCCCAACCTATTGTTTAAAATGCACCTCCAACTAGCTAAGCCGGCAATTAGGTCCAATTGCTTGGTATGCTCTAAACCGCCACGAGCCATTACAGCCCGGCAATTGCAGCAGTTCATGGTATATGCGATGTCCGTATTGGCATGAGGAAATACAGTAAACTAGCAGGGGCCACAAGGAGAGACACTTGTCAATATAATGCAAATATCAGGACAACTAGGCAGTCCACAGGTATGCTTTAACCTTAATTTTGATGAGGGAAGTAGATTTGTGGGATGCACCACTTGTGTGAAAGGTATAACAGTCAATCTCACTAACGAAACCCCTTCTGTTTAATGACATCAATAGACCAGATTGCATCTGCTGGAAAGACGGGTGTTACTATTTCCTATGCGGGTTAGACGCTTATAGAGGGAATTGCCCCTAATGCCAGAGGTTCATGCGTCCTGGTGAAGCTCGTCCTTGCATCTTACGTTGCAGCCGTTCGGGAGGAACTGATGGTGCAGAAGGTAAGAAGGGCAGAGAGAGCTGGAAGGGAATTATTTTCCAACCCCGACCAGACCTTGGCATGGTTCCCTGCTTGGAAAGGATGGGGAATTGAACTTATGAAGCAATTGAACAATTTCTCGTCCATAGTGGATGAGACAGTGTGGGAGATCACCAAGGAACGACGACAGATGAAGACTCTGGTACTGTAGGAAAAGATGGCACTTGATTATCTTTTAGCGTCCAAAGGGGGGTTTCTGTGAATATTTAGGGGAGGACTGTTGTACCTGGATAGCCGACACCAGTGACATGGTCAAAGCCCATATGGATAAGGTTAGCGCCCTGCAAGGCAGGGCTAGAGCTATAGCTAGTGAGGGTTGGAATCCTTTTAAAGTTTTGGGAGGTTTTGGGGATCTCGTTTTCCATTGGATCCTGGCTAAAGGAAATAGGAGTATATATACTTATGGTGTTTTTGTTTCTATTCCTTCTATACGCCGAAGTGAGATGTTCCTGTTGTCTAATCGAACGAGTCACCAAAGCCCGAGCAGACTAGTACATTTTCGTTACCAAGAAGAGACGCCCTGAAGACCAACCCATGTACCAGATGCAGAGGATTCCAAACCAACCAGCAACCAATGTGACCCACCACCTCATGTCCTCCCTCTGAGTCACCTCCCGACAGATAGAGTCTATGGGGTTGATTTACTAAACTTATAAAACACATCACGAACATGTATACACCTCTGTAGTGTTCCCTCCCAGTATGATCTATGGGTGGAATCTAAACACCTTTGTAGTGTGTACACACCCAGCAGGTGTGTTGTGCAAAGCCAAGCATTGAATTGCAAGGTGATGTTGTGTAAATTAGCTCTATATTGTGTTGCTTGCGTTGATGAATGCAGGAATGTGAATGCATGAGCTAAGCATTTTTGTCTAAACTGTGAAGCAGCATTATATATGCATCATGTGCATGATTTTTTCATATATGGCATTAGTGGAAATATGCTTTTAGAGACTTTTTGGTTGATAAATACGTTTTGCTGTGTAAAAATCACACGCACCTGGTGCATGCATGTGTTTAGGTTAGTAAATCACCCCCTATGTGTCAACATTGATTCTCTGTTTTGCTTTATTGATTCAGTATTCAAACCACTTTGCTTTTGTTTTAGGGACACAGTTTGATTTTGGATACATATCTGCCTTTTTAAAAAGGAACATACACTCTTTTTGGTGCGTCTGATCAACGCACTGGAAATATGGCATTGTCCCTGCAGATAAGCTCACATTCACAGGAACCGTAGTATAATTCTGCTAGGCATTGTTCACTTAACAACGCCTGGTAGAATTCACGCCAAAGGCGGGAGTATATGCGCGGGTCTGGTTGATGTAGCGTCCACAGTCAGCATGCTGCTTCCTTTGTGTAAGTGTTTTGGCGGGAAATCCATTGCACATGGTTTTCCATTCCAACAAGTGCGCACGTGAAACATGAACTGGCAGCTGGAAGCTGTGCACGGTGCTTCACATGCATGAGCATACACTCCCCTTTTCTATTGTCTATTCAGATGTATACATGTGTCTCATTGGCTGACTCTGTGTTATGTAAATGTATTGAGGAAGTGGTGGCTGTTGTAGCCAGGACGTCCTGCTGTTACCCCTATAAATAAAACGGATCTCACTCCATTCAGGAGGACATATACTGAGAATCCAACGTGACAACAGCTTGTGTCTGGTCCTCACTTTGTACAGCCGAGGCGCTCTATGAAATTATACAAGGAGAGCTGAGGACTGTGCTTTTTAGCGCAGCGGATTTCTATGAGCAGGAAGCGTATATTAATTTCCATAACAAGGATGCCAAGTTTCTCCTTCTATAGAAAAATAAGTGGGGGAGGAATAGTGATATCTTACTACATGCAAGTGTTACAACAACGCATGTTAACACATGCGGTAATGCACAGCAGCAAATAAGACAAAGCGTTAAATGGACCATATAAAAGTGTCCACAGGCAAACTGCATACATTTCATGAAAGGCAAAAATTGGTTTACAGCGTTAAAAAATACATACCATTGGATAATAGTAGTTGTAAGCATACTGGTAGTTATACTGGGAGTACCACTGATAATACTGTTGCTGCATCGCTACATCCCCTTGTGGTGCAGAATACTAAAAAGAAAAGAAAAAAAACAACAACAATAAAAAAAACATCTTTAAGCTTTCCAGATAAGTGCACCTGTCATGAGGAGTGTAGGAACTTACCGTATTTTTCGCTCCATAAGACACCGCTCCACAATGCTGCTGGCTGTTTCTAACTTCTGCATACTGAGACTCCTCCCTTTCCCTGTCATGTGGCATGACACAGGAAGGTGAGAAGCCTTTCAGACACAGAAGTTAGACAGTGGCAGCATGGAAGAGGTAAATAACCATGTGTCAAATTCGACGCATATAAATGAAAATACTAAAACAATTACTTTGTGTGAGTGAAATTCTTTTTCAAAGGTAAACTGTGTGTCCATGAAAATTTGACCGTATTAACCCAATTAGTGTTAAACACACAAAAATAGAAAACAATGCTTGGAGCGGTGACTGCTTTCTCCGCTCTGGAAGTTGACCTGTGGAGATGTGGTCCTCGGATCGTCTCTGAATTGGTGCTGACACTGTCCTTCCTTCTGGGGGGGGGCTACTTTTGTTCCCCATGGTCTCCATTTGTGTGTTGTGAAGTAGTCACCGCTCCAAGCTCACTCTCCGGGATGAACTACAATCTCAATACAAATCAGTGACGTGCGGTACCTTTGGTTTCGGGTGAGGCATTCCACACCCTCGGCCCCAGCATGCCCAGCCCCGCCCATATCACAACGTAGCCCGCCGAAGTGTCGGCACCAGTTCGGAGGTGATTTGAGGATCATGTCTCTGTAGGTTGAACTCGATGGACTTTTTTCAACCTGACTATGTAACTATTTAAACTACAGCCGAGTGATACACAAGAAAGATACATTGTTATTAAGGTATTTGAATGCATTTTTAAGGTTTAACTCCGGAGTTTCGTGCCACTTTATTTCTTTAATACATGTAACCAGTTTCACAAAATATACAATTGCAATAAATGGTGTTTAAAAAAAATAAAAACAATGTGTCCCATTCAATGTATATAAATAAATAAAATGCTGAAACAATGACTTTGTATGTGAGTGAAATACTCCTACAAAAAAAAACGCGTAAGCGTGAAAATCTACACAACCATTGACAAATGTGTATCTGAAAATATATAACATCTCTGTAAGGGAAATCAAGTGCACAAATCCATGTGTATGATTATAGACCAGTGTACAACATATCACAAAAAATTATTACAACATAAAATGTCATGACATTGTGAATCCAAAAGAAAAGATTTTCAGAATTTTTTTAATCTAAAATCTGGTGTAGGATGAGTCCTGTGAATTCAAGCAATGGAGCAAATCGTTCTGTTAATGTTCCAAACGAAGACCAAAGCCCAAAGTGTAATAAGTGTCCAATCCAGTGATGTGGTGGTGAAACGAAAAATCCCCTCTAGGGTATGTACTCACCGGACTAAAGATGTTTAACCCCTTCATGACTGAGGCGCTTTTTTCCATTTTTGCACCCATGTTATATTCCACATTTTAGGCCTGAAAATGACGTAAAACCCCCCAACATTATATATACAGTGTGCAGCACCGGAGTAAAAGGTAGCCGTTCGCTGTGTTATCCTCCATCTTAGCGTCCACAAGGTCTGCCAAAATTATATGTCAGACTCCCGTTCGCCGTCATGAAAAATAAAGGAATACTCCCATAGTGTAGCAAAATGAAGTAACTTTATTTAAATAGGAAACACGGCTAAAAAAGATTTTCTAAAAACAAAGAGCCAAAAAATAGGAATAGAAAACCGGCCGGTCAGTAAAATGACTGCTATGACTGAAGGAGTGACGTAATTGCAGGACCGCCCCCAACTCGTTTCGTCATATAGCCATTTTCAAGGTATAGGCAGGTCTGCAAAGGTCACCCTCCAGTCTCCTTATATATTCTAACGGTCATTAATTTGCCACACATGTGCAAAAGGCAGCTGTTACAAACGGACAGAGACAGATCTCAACACCAGGATCCTTTCATCGTGTGTGCGTGTGTGTGTGTATACACACACACACACACACACACATATATTACACACACACACAGTGTGATGGGCTTACCCATAAATACATTAAAAAAGCATAAATTATATAAAAATTAACATGTATATATGATGAACTGTAAATTTATAAAAACTATAACATCCAATTACTTTTTTTATTCCATACATTTCAATCCGTTACATCTATTTCTATATCGATGGGGACTTAAGTTTAGAAACAGCAAATGATTATAAACTTAGAAAGCCCAAAAATTTACCTATTAGGTTATAAAAAGTGGTAGAAATACTCTGTCAATTATTGACAACCATCATATGCTTACTAATTAATACACATAATTATCTCCAAATAAAAATCAAAGGGAAAAGGGGAAGGGGGGAGAAGAAAGGGCAAGTTATTAACTGTTGCTCAAAAAACAATATTTAGACCTTTAGGTGACAGTGTGTCTAATATATCCATTTGGACTCATTTTTGGAGAGCTCTCTAACCATATTAGATCCCCTCCAATGGCCTTCAATCCTGTAAATTCCTACAACCTTCAATCTCCTGGGATCTTTATTATGAAAGTTTTTTAAATGCTTTGACAGGCTGCGTTTATCGTAGCCTTTCTTAATATTGTTTATGTGTTCAAGCCTTTTCTTCAATTCTCTCTTTGTTCGACCCACGTATTGGGAGGCCGCAGGGGCACTCCAGCAGGTAGGTAACAGGTCTACTTGAACAAGAGACAAATTGTATCTATTTTATATTCTTTATTGGTGATATTAGATTTAAACACATCTACTTCCTAATCATTGTGGGATTTTTCGTTTCACCACCACATCACTGGATTGGACACTTATTACACGTTGGGCTCCGTTTGGAACATTAACAGAACGACTTGCTCCATCGCTTGAATTCACAGGACTCATTCTACACCAGATTTTTAGATTAAAAAATTCTGAAAATCTTTTTTCTTTTGGAGTCACGTTATGACATTTTATGTTGTAATAATCTTTTGTGATGATATGTTGTACACTGGTCTATAATCATACACATGGATTTGTGCACTTGATTTCTCTTACAGAGATGTTATATATTTTCAGATACACATATTTGTCACTGGTTGTGTAGATTTTCACACTTAGCTTTTTGTAAAAGTATTTCACTCACATACAAAAGTAATTTTTTCAGCATTTTATTTATTTATATACATTGAATGGGACACATTGTTTCTATTTTTGTGTGTTTAACACTAATTGGGTTAATACGGTTAGATTTTCATGGACACAGTTTTCCTTTGAAAAAGAATTTCACTCACACAGAAAGTAATTGTTTTATTATTTCCATTTATATGCATCGAATTTGACACATGGTTTCTACTTTGTGTGTATAACACTAATTGGATTGATACTGTGAGGCTTTTAGCGCTACACTGTTGATTGTTTTACCCTTTCGGGCTCGCCGCCTTAGTTTAGCAGCTACTAGCCATTCCGTTTTTTTTTCTTTAAATTTCCACAAGCGCAGGTTTTTGTATTTCCAAGAGATAAATAACGCTGGCTCTATAAGACACTTCAGCCCTGACACGAGAGAAAGCAGATCTAAGTGTAGTCACGAAAGTCCTTTATTCCAAATATGGATGATTACACTTACGAAATGGGTTGAATAAAATTCGCATGTGGGTGTAAACGGCGCCCAAACATATTTTACTGACGAAATATTGAACAAAACACAGACAGTTTATAATGTATTAATTTAATAATTTAATAACTTTATTACACATATTTTACACCATTTTACGAATTTTGTCCATCCTCTTTATCAATTTATTTATTTTTCATTTTTCCACTTAAATATAAACAAACATTTCCATTGAGATAGAAACACAGTAAGATGATACAGTAAAGAATATTGCTCACTACCAAGCGCAACATAATTGCTCACAGTAAAAGAAACAGGTCTGAGCATGTCGGCCCCTTAAAAGATAACTCAGATTTGGTAACTGGGGACAAAGAGAAGGCAAATCTATTAAATACTTTCTTCAGCTCTGTGCACACCAAGGAACACCATGCAACTCAAGTCCATAATGGGGATAGCAGTACCATAGCCTCTACTGAACCACAATGGTTGACTATTGATATGGTCCAGAAACAGTTGAACAAAATTAAGGTGAACAAAGCACCTGGACCAGACAGCTTACACCCACGTGTCCTCAAGGAATTGAGCTGTGTAATTTCGAAGCCATTGGGTGGAATTTATCAAAGCACTTGCAACAGTTTTAGCCTCTTAAATCATTTTTTTTAATGTGCAAATCTGTCTTTTAACATGTGCCCCTGTTTTTTTCAGAGCTTGCACTACTTTTTCAACTGCATGTTTTTTGCACCTGTTTTGACCAGAGCCTGCACTACTTTTTCAGTTGCATGTTTTTTTGCACGTGTTTTCATCTGCACTTGTTCTGGGCTGTCTGAAACTGGAGCATCACTTAAGAAAACACTCACAACTTAAGAAGTCCCCCCAAGACCACTTCTTCCAGATGTGACAGTTAAGCTTTTTGCCTGGAGTTACGAGTCTTCTTTCCTGGAGTCTATTAAACCTCATTTATCAACAACATTGCACTAGCTTGATAAATGTGGTGCAAATATATTCCGTGCAAGTTCAAACACTCACAATAGCTATGATAAATTCCCCTTAACATGTCTAATGAAAATTACATCATCAAAGCCTAGACTGCATTGATAAATAAGGTGCAAATAAACATGGAAAATGTGTCACTTACAGAAAAGTGGAGCAACTCGCTTGATAAATTCCCCCCATTGTATTTAATTTTTAGGGACTCTCTAATGACTGGCTTGGTACCGATAGATTGGTGCAAAGCCAATGTGGTGCCTATATTTAAAAAGGGATCAAAGTCTTTACCAAGTAATTACAGACCTGTAAGTTTAATGTCAATAGTTGGGAAGATACTTGAAAGTTTGATCAAGGATCACATGCAATTGTTTTTGCTTGAAAATAATATCATAAGCGATAGTCAGCACGGATTCACAAAAGACAGAAGATTGGGCATCTATTTGGTAAATGAGGTTTAATGTTGATAAATGTTAAGTTATGCACTTGGGGACTAAAAACATGCATGCTTCATACACTCTAGGGGGAGTATGTTTGGGGGAGTCAATGATGGAGAAAGATCTGGGTGTTCTGGTAGATCATAGACTGAATAATAGCATGCAATGTCAAGCTGCAGTTTCTAAAGCAAGCAAAATACTTTCTTGTATTAAAAGAGGTATAGACTCCAGAGATAGAGACATAATCACGCCCCTGTACAAAGCATTAGCAAGACCTCATCTGGAATATGCAGTTCAGTTTTCGGCACCAGTTCACAAAAAGGATGTTGTGGAACTGGAGAAAGTGCAGCGAAGGTACAGTTTGTAGAAGCCCCAACTAGAAATGATGCTCTGCTGGATCTGGTAATCTCAAACAATGCAGAGCTTATTATAAATAAAAAAGGGGCCTCTCATGACTAAACTCATAAGAGGCATGGAGGAGATCAGCTATGAGGAAAGATTAGCTGACCTGAATTTGTTCTCTCTGGAGAAGAGGTGGTGGGGGGCATGATCACCATATATAAATACATAAATGGTCCATATAGTGAGCTTGGTGCCAAATGATTCATGTTAAGGACAAGGGGGCACTCTTTGCGTCTGGAGGAAAAGAGGTTTAACCTTTGCATACAGAAAGGATTCTTCACAGTAAGAACTGTGAAAATGTGGAATAGACTCCCCCAGGAGCTAGTTCTAGCTAGCTCGGTTAGTTGTTTTAAAAACATCTGGATGTATACTTAAATGCACAGAATATTACTGGATATTGAGTTCTTATAGGTATATTAGGCATCAGAGATTGTGGATCCAAGGAATATCCGATTGCCTTATGGGATCAGGAAGGATTTTTTCCCCCCTGTTGGAGCAAATTGAACCATGCTTTATAGGGGTTTTTTTGTCTTCCTCTGGATCAACAGGGGGCAGTTGTGGACATGGTGTTCTGTTTAGGCTCTTCTTTTTTTTCTATAGGTTGAACTCGATGGACTTGTCTTTTTTCAACCTGACTAACTATGTACTTTGACTGACATTTATTCAATCATGCAATGCTGTACTGAAATGAATTTTATACCATTTTTGGGGGACAGATAGAGCTTTCTTTTGGTGGTATTTAATCACCACTGGGGTTTTTATTTTTTACTATAGTAAGGAAAAATTATCGAAAATGTAAAAAAAAAAACAAACAAAAAACTGGTTTCCCCTATATTAAATTATAAAACATTTATATTTACCCAATTTTTGGGTAAAATATAAAAGGCGGGGTCACGTCGGGTAAAAAGACACCAAACATGTCAAGCCTTAAAATTGCACTCACGTGAAACCTCCAAAAAGTACAATACCCAAAATTGGCCATAGGCCATGCTTTAAAAGCTTTTACCGCTCATCAGTTTAGTGTTATCAGTAATTCATGGCCCTAAAATGATTGCTCTCCCTCTGACGTTCGCGGCGATATGCAACATGTGTAGAGCAATTGTCGTTTTCGCACGCTGGTGCATCAAACGCGTATTTACATTTATATGTGCGTAAACGTGGGGGTGGTGGACTTAACAATTTTTTTTTTACTGTTTTTATATGTGACTTTTTTTTTTTACACTTATTGTTATTGCCATCACATAGGGGGATAACTATCCCCCTATATAATAGCACAAGCACACTGACAGGTCCTCTTTAGACATTAGGGGTCTCTAAGACCCCTGTCACCTGGGGACCCCAAAAGAAGCTGATAAAGCAGAGATCCGCTTCATCAGCTTCTTCTCTCTGGCTATAGCAGCCAGATGACTGACAGGTGAATGCGGAAGTGATGTATTACACATCACTTCCGCATTCACAGTACAGAGGGAGGTCATCAAGGAGGAAGATGCTGATCTCCCTACCATCTTACCTTCTGACACCCTCCCGAGCCGGTCCCGGGCCGCAGATGGGCTAGCGAATCCCGGGATTGAAGGTGAGGGGGTGGCACTCGTGGCGGCGGCACTCCAGGGGGGGTGGCGCGAGCAACATACAAGCGATCGGCAGCTATATAGGCGCGAATCGTTAGTATGTAAAACAGCCGGTAATGGCTGTAAAGAATGGACGGGTTTTCTCTGCCCGTGCGCGCTAGGGGGTGCGCGTGAGCAGGAAAAAAAAAAAAGCCGTCTAATTACGGCAACCCGTCCGTGTGAGTCTGCCGTCCGTCCGTTTTTTCACATGGGCGGACGACAGTCACTTAGAGAGCACCAAATGCACAGGTACCATGCTTTTAGCGCAATGCTATGGTGTAATCTGGCCTTTAGTGGTGATAATGAAATCAGCTGGAAAAGACCTATTAAAGCGAACATCAATATCTGCAGAAGAGAGAGTTGCACATTTGCAATAATGTTTGTATGTATACACCTGAAAGAGACATTTCTTCTAAGCAAAACTGAGCCTTGAATTTTATTCTGAATGAATTTTCTATTGAGAAAATAGAATTTCACACCCACTCGAAGGAAATATTAAAATATGTTAACTGGAAAAAATATATAAAGACTTAATAAGGCCATTAGAACAATCATGAAATATACATTATGCCAGTTACTGTTAACATAATTACAACTGCAATGTTCTCTTTTCAAACTACTGTATATATGTATGTTTGCTTCCATGTTAGGACCTTACCTGAGCATTTGCTTGCCCGTCACTTGATCCTTTATTAGCTGCAGAGGTGGCACTGGCTTTGCTAATGCTCGCTAAAGCCTGCCTTGCTTTCTCCCACTCAGGATTCTCATGCATTGGTGTTTCCAAAGCACCATCTCTGCTGGCACCATACTGCTGAACCCTGTGAGGAAGAGGTCATAGGTTTAAGCTGAAAAGAGAGGTTTTCACAACTAGAATACAAAGCAGGGTCTATCAAATTCTAAAAGCCAAGTAAGCAATGTGTCAAAACAGCACAATCATACATTAGGACTAAGGGACCCCATTTAAAATACAGGGCATATATTGCTACCTGCTCCCTGCTATACTTCAGTGTTACTTCAAACAGCTGCCTGTATTTTGCAATGTTTAAAGCTGCAAATGGAAATCTAGCAGATCAGCTAGCAAATCTGTAAAGCACATTATGTGCCATAATGTAAGAGCATACTGCTGCTTTCAAATGAACACTTAAATATTTGCTTCTGGCAAAAGCTCAATCATGACTGACTCTTCCAAAAAAAAATGTTGTGGTCTGATTGAAAATGTACCCTGAAGTCAGAAAATGTGCTTAAAGCGACACTAAACTCGGGAGTTAACCACTTGAAGGCCATAGTGTTTCACCCCCTTCCTGGCCAGGCCATTTTTCAGTATTCAGCGCTGCGGTACTTTGACTAATGTTTATTCCGTCATGCAACGCTTTACTGAAACGATTTTCATACCATTTTTTGGGGACAGATAGAGCTTTCTTTTGGTGGCTTTTATTCACCACTGGGGTTTTTATTTTTTACTATATAACAAAAAAAGTACCCTAAATTTTGAAAAAAAAAACATGTTTCCCTATAAAATGTTATGAAACATTTTTTTTCACCCCAATTTTTTGGTAAAATATAAAAGTCGGGGTCACGTCGGGTAAATAGACACTAAACATGTCAACCTTTAAAATTGCGCGTGCCCGCAAAATCGCAGAAAACGACCGCAGCCAAAATTGGCCATAGGCGACGCTTTAAACGTTTTTACCGCTCATCAGTTTAGTGTCATCAGTGATTGATGGCCCTAGAATTATTGTTCTCACTGCGACGTTCGCGGCGATATGCAACATGTGCTGCATAATGGGCGCAATCGTCGGTTTCGTACATAGGCGCACCCGACGCATGTTTGCGCGTGTATCTGGGGGGCGGGGGACTTTAAAAAAATGTTTGTGTTATTTTTTTTTATTTTTTTAGCTTCTTTATTTTTTTTAGCTTCTTTATTTTTTTTAATGCTGTAATTTTTTTTTTTTTGACTTAACTTTATTGCTATAACATAGGGGACTAAGGAATCCCCTATGTAATAGCCAGTTCACCAAACAGGTCCTCTTTATGGAGACATCAGGGGTCTCAAGACCTCTGATGTCACCTAGGGACCCCCACAGAAGCTGATGAAGCACAGATCTGCTCCATCAGCTTCTCTCTGGTGTTCTGCACCGGAGAGTGACACTGAATGCAGGAAGTGATGTAATATACATCCCTTCCTGCATTCGGGGACAAGAAGAGAGATCAAAGCGATGATCAAGTAATGATCATTCCTTTGATCTCCTGTTAGAGCGTCGCCGTGCCGACGCTCTAACAGGAGGGGTGGGGCGGCGCACACCCGCAGATCCTGCAAGCGATCGGGAGTCTCTAGAGACGCCTGACCGCTTGTATGTAAACAGCCATCGCTGGCTGTTTACATGCTGACGGTTTTCCCTCTCGTGTGCGGCGCTCAGCGCGGACACGAGAGGGGGGAGGGGCAGGACGTCTTAAGACGCCCTCCCGCTCTGAGCAGACGTCCATCTGGCCGTTCACAAACGGCCATGGACGTAAGGTATTTAATAGGAGAACTATCAGGTGAGTGAATTACACTCATCCCCATAGTTAGAGCCGACAAGTGACATTGAAACTGTTGCACGTCGGCTCTATTAAATTAGAAAGTGAGCGAAAACATACCGCCAATCCGCTCACTTCCTGATCATCTCCCTGCAGAAAGCGGTGACTGTCAGTCAAGGCTCCCTACATGGATTCTCAACCCCCCCACTCCTCCAGCGCTGACTGGAGGGACGTACGGGGAGGGGGGCAGGCATAGCTGAGAGGCTGAGCCAGCTGTTAATCAGCCAGCTGGGTGGACCTTGACAGTATTGTCAGGATCCGTCCCAGCTGTGGCGCTCTCGGCATATAGGGGGCAATAGCATGCTATATGCCTAGTTTTGGGTCACGGGAGGACACAGTACATGTCCTCCTGTGACCCAAAAGAAAACTATGGAGAGAAAAAAAAAAAAAAAAAGTCATCCCATATTTCTCCTCTAAACATTCAAAATGTATTCAGGTACCTTATCTAATTATCTCTCTATCTCTCTCTCTATCTATCTACCCATCTATCTTCATATCCAATTATCTCTGAATTGGTGCAGGCACTGTCCTTCCTTCTGGAGGGTGGCTACTTTTGTTTCCCATGGTACCTGTGTGTGTTGTAAACTAGCCACCGCTCCATGCTCACTCCTGTGATGGACTACAATCTCGCATTTAGTTCACTAATTTGTATTGAGGTTGTAGTCCATCATGGGAGAGAGACTGGAGCGGTAGCCACCCTCCAGAAGGAAGGACAGTGTCAGCACTAATACAGAGATGATTTCAGGATCTACAGCAGAGTGTTATACAAATAAGGTTAATTTTTTTAAATAGTTAAAGGTATTTGAATTAGGGATGTCCCGAAGCTACTTTTCAGGCCAAAGTACAAGTACTTCCCCTTATGTACTTGCCGATACCAATTACCGATACTTTTTCTTAAAGGGACAGGTGACTTTAAATGATCCATAGTACAACTACATGTTCTGTACTATGGATCATGATTTCACCTATTCATCTTAGCAGCGGAGAATTGCAACTCTATTGCTGGAGTGTAGTGGAGGTGTGTGCGCTGTATATATGTACTACATATACATTACACACATCCAGTACACTATAGCAATAGATTTACAGCCAGCCCCGTCCCAGCTTCCCTCACTCAGTTTCACTCCGATCCCTGTTGCCTCACGTGGTGCTTCTTGTAGTAGTCACTGGGCAGGATCGCTGCATCGCGTCTCGGTGCTCAGCTTGTGGGAGGCGCTCACAATTCTGCCCTGCTAACATGAATAGGGTAAATCATGATTAATAGTACATAACATGTAGTTGTACTATGGATCATTTAACCCATTCATGTTAGCAGGGGATCATTGTAACTCTATTGCTGCAATGTACGGGACATTTGTGCTGTATATGTACAGTGCATATAGATATACAATTCTGCACTGCTAACATGAATGGGTTAAATGATCCGTAGTACAGGGCTACATATCATGTACTACGGATCATTTAACCCATTCATATTAGCAGAGGATAATTGTAAATGTATTGTTGCAGTGCATGTTATATGTCGTATATAGTACTTGTACATATAGAGTGCCTGCAACAATACATTTACAATTAACGGTATACTCTGCTAACATGAATGGGTTAAATGATCCCTAGTACAGGGCTGCATATAGATCATTTAATCCATTCATGTTAGCAGAGTATAATTGTAAATGTATTGTCTGCACTGTATGAGCAGTGTGTACTCTATATGTAGTACATATAGAGTATATACTGCTCATACAGTGCAGACAATACATTTACAATTAAACTCTGCAGCATAATAGTGTCCAGTG